GATACAGAGTAAAGCTTCCTTTACGCTATCCCCATCAAACACTCCCAAGGCAGGGTCAGCACAGGGTTAGGTACAGAGTAAAGCTCTGTCTACACTGTCCCCATCAAACACACCCAGGGCAGGGACAGCACGGGGTTAGATACAGACTAAAGCTCCCTCTGCACTGTGCCCCATCAAACACTCCCAGGGCAGGGACAAATCCTGGATTTGGTTTATTTATTATTTACCATTGAAATGTGATCCCACTGTTTCTTATTGAATATAATTTTCTTTCCCACATTCTTATCTCTGTCTTATTTCATATTTCTGCTTACGTAGCCCCCAGCTCTCTGCCCAACTGGGTTACTGAGACATTTCTGCACTAATAATACCCTGGATTCAGGAGGAGCCCTCATTGTCAATCCATTTCCCCTTCTCCTTGAGCTCTTGCTCCCCACAATCTCTCCTCCCCTGTGTGTGGAGCTTGTCTGTATATATTGCACAAGGCTGTAAATCCATCAAGTCTGCTTTGGAAATGGACATCACCTCTCATTGGAAATGTAAATGGCTTATCCCCAGCCTTGGTGCTAACCCTGTGTGTGTGCCTGTCCCCTTGCGCTGGCAATGGGTGGTGTGGGGATGGCCTTACCGTTCTGTGATGGTTTCCCTCAGTCCACTGGCAACCCCTTTCATCACCGTGCTGGCCTTAGGCGTCAGGACCAGTTGTGAGACAAAGAAGGTGCCCTTACTGCGACGGTCAGCGATGGAGGCCTGAACAAACTGGATCAGTTTCTCAGGGTCAGTGGTGTTTGGGCAGGGTGATGGCATCATCTGGCCTGGCCACAGGAAGGTCACTTCCAGTGCTGCTGGGTTGTGGTAGAAGACCAGCACTTGGTAGCCCTTCTCCCAGAGATACTGAAGGCTGACCTCTTGGGCAAAGATAACCGGAGAGAGTCGCTCCTGGAAGCATTCCCTCAGCATCCGGATCAGCGTCTCGTGGTGGCATTTCTGCATCCCATAGAAGTGGTTGAAATCGAGTATGACAGCTTCTCGCGGCTGCTCTCCCAGGAAGGCATTGATCTGCTCCAGACCCTCCCTCACTGTGGCACTGAAAAGCCCATGAGCAAAGTAGAGCTCATTGTCAGGATCCCTGGGCTTGGTGGAGATGCGCAGGTCAAAGTAGCGAATGCCAGCCTGGAGCTGGCTCCTGAAGTTCATGCTCTGGGTTGCCAGCCACCTCCTCATCAGCTTCTTGGCCACTGTCCCAAAGACGGAGACAAAGTTCTGGACTGTGTCCGTCTGCTCTGGCCCCACTGGTGAGGATTCATCGATGTAGAAGCTGAACGAGTCGTGGGAGCCTGCACCAAGGAAGCACACAGCAATCAGAATGGCAGCAGTGCCTTCCGCAGTGATCAGACACACAATGGTCACTCAAGGATCTCGACCAGGTAGGTAGCATGCTGATTCCTTATCACACAGCCCACCCCCACCTACCCCAACACCCCCCGCACCCCCACCCACCCCCTTCCCCAACATGGGTACATCACTTTCACTCATAGAGCTGTACAGCACAGAAACAGACCCTTCAGTCCAACTCATGTAAGCTGACTAAATCTCCTAACTCTACACCCTCTTGTTCTGAAGAAGGGTCCCGACCCGAAATGTCAGCTTTCCTGCTTCTCTGATGCTGCCTGGCCTGCTGTGTTCATCCAGCTCCTCACTGTGTTATCTCTGACTCCAGCATCGGCAGTTTTTGCTATACCTTCTTGTTCTCACTCCTTTTCCAAGTGGGAACAGCGTCTCCCTATCTACTTTATCCAGCCCCTGTTTATGATGTTGAAAACCTCTATCAGATCTCACTCTCAAACTCCTCTCTCCCAGGAGAACAGTCCTAATGTCTTCAATCTATCCTCATCACTGAGGTTTCTCATTCCTAGAAACAGTTTTGTAAATCACCCCCACATTGTCTCCAAAGCGTTCACATCTTCCCTGTAACGTGACACCCCCAACAACTGTCCACAACCCTCCAGCTGGGGTCTAACAGTGTCTTGTACAAGTTTAACATCACCTCCTTGTCCTTGTACTCTATGCCCCCAATAATAAAGCTGAGGACACTGTGTACTTTATTAACTGCTCTCTCCATGTGTCCTACCACCTTCCTAGCCCCCACTCCCTCTGCTCCTACTCCCCCTTTAGAATTGGACCCTCTTCTTCATATTGTCTTTCAATGTTCTTCCATACTCACACTTCTCTGCATTGACCCTCATCTGCAACCTATCCACCCACCCACTCCACCAACTTGTCCTTTTGGAGTTTCACATTGTCCTCCTCACAGTTTACAATTCTTCCAAGTTTCATGCCATGACCCCTCACTGAGAAACCCATCAGTGGGACAATACTAAAACCAATCGCTATGAGATCAACTCCTACAGCAGCTGGAATTCAGTTTTTAAATGCTCTAAATGACAAGGAAGTGTCTGTAAACATGACCATTGAACAGTTCCTCTACAGGAGGAGGCCATTCAGCCCATAGCATCGCCGACAGCTGTCTCCAAGAACAACACAGCTCCTCACACTCAGCCCTGTTCCCTCCAGAAACAGATTGAATTCCCTTTAAAAACTACGAGTGAATCAGACTCCACCTTTCACTGCCTGACACAGCTTTCTTCATGTCCCCACAGTTTCTGTTGTAGATGGTACTGGTTCTGAAGGGGTTAATGTTTGTGTTAGACTAGCTCCACCCATTCCACTGATGTCACACCTGGCTGCAAACAGGGAGCTTGATCCCAGCAGACAGATCTGGACCAATTCCTCCACATCCTGCCTGAACAAATCTATCATAGAATCATAGAAACATAGAGAATAGGAGTAGGCCATTCAGTCCTTCAAGCCTGCTCTACTATTCATCATAATCATGGCTTATCATCCAGCTCAGTCTCCTGTTCCCCATACCCTTTGATCTTTTTATCCCTAAGAACTCTATCAAGACCCTTTTCAAAAATGATCTGCATTTTGGCCTGGAATGCGCTCAGTGACAGAGAATTCCACAGGAATGAATCTGAGCGGATCACCTGGCATCGACCTAGGTACCAGAAAAGACCAACAGAAACAGCCCTGTCGACTCTGCAAGGTCTTCCTCACTAACATCTGGGGGATTAGTGCCAAAATTGGGAGAGCTGTCTCACAGACTAGTCAAGCAACAGCCTGATATAGTCATACTCACAGAATCATACCTTACAGACAGTGTCCCAGACACCACCATCACCATCCCTGTCTCACTGGCAGGACAGACCCAGGTGGTACAGTGGGATACAGTCGGGACGGAGTTGGTCTGGGAGTCTTCAACATTGACTCTGGACCCCATGAAGTCTTATGGCTTCAGGTTAAGAACATAAGAACATAAGAACTAGGAGCAGGAGTAGGCCATCTGGCCCCTCAAGCCTACCCCGCCATTTAATAAGATCATGGCTGATCTTTTTGAGACTCAGCTCCACTTACCCACCCACTCACCATAACCCTTAATTCCTTTACTGTTCAAACATTTATCTAGCCTTGCCTTAAAAACATTCAGTGAGGTTGCTTCACTGGGCAGGGAATTCCACAGATTCACAACCCTTTGGGTGAAGAAGTTCCTCCTGACCTCAGTCCTATATCTGCTTCACTTTATTTTGAGGCGATGCCCTCTAGTTCTAGTTTTACCTGCTAGCGGAAACAACCTCCCTGCCTCCACTTTATCTATTCCCTTCATAATCTTATATGTTTCTATAAGATCTCCCCTCATTCTTCTGAATTCCAATGAGTATAATCTCAGTCTACTCAGTCTTTCCTCATAATCCAACCCTCTCAACTCTGGAATCAACCGAGTGAATCTCCTCTGCACCCCCTCCAGTGCTAGTATATCTCTTCTCAAGTAAGGAGACCAAAACTGCACACAGTACTCCAGGTATGGCCTCACCAGGACCCTATACAGCTGCAGCATAGCCTCCCTGTTTTTAAACTCCATCCCTCGAGCAATGGCAGACAAAATTCCACTTGCCTTTTTAATTACCTGCTGCACCTGCAATCCTACTTTTAGCGATTCATGCACAAGGACACCCAAGTCCCTCTGCACAGCAGCGTGCTGCAATTTTTTACCATTTAAAACATAGTCCATTTTGCTGTTATTCCCACCAAAATGGATGACCTCACACTTATCAACATTGTACTCCATCTGCCAGACCTTTTCCCACTCACTTAGACTACCTATATCCCTCTGCTGACTTTCAGTGTCTTCTGCACACTTTGCTCTACCACTCACCTTAGTGTCATCTGCAAATTTTGACACACCACACTTAGTCCCCAACTCCAAACCATCTATGTAAATTGTAAACAATTGCGGTCCCAACACTGATCCCTGAGGCACACCACTAGCCACTGACCACCAACCAGAAAAACACACATTTACCCCTACTCTTTGCTTTCTACTGGTCAACCAATCCTCTATCCATTCCAATACATTACCTGTAATACCGTGCAACTTTATCTTATGTAGCAGCCTTTGGTGTGGCACCTTGTCAAATGCCTTCTGGAAATCCAGATACACCACATCCACAGGTTCCCCATTGTTCACCATGCAAGTAATGTCCTCAAAGAATTCCACCAAATTAGTTAAACATGACCTACCCTTCATGAACCCATGCTGGGTGTTCCCAATGGGACAATTTATATCCAGATGTCTTGCTATTTCTTCCTTAATGATAGATTCAAGCATTTTCCCCACTACCGAAGTTAAGCAAACTGGCCTATAGTTACCTGCTTTTTGTCTACTTCCTTTCTTAAACAGTGGCATCACATTGGCTGTTAAACATGGGTAAGGAAACCTCCTGCTGATTACCACATACCGTCCTCCCTCAGCTGATGAATCAGTATTCCTCCATTTGAACAACACTTAGAGGAAGCACTGAGGATGGCAAGGGCACAAAATGTCCTCTGGGTGGGGGATTTCAATGTCCATCACCAAGAGTGGCTTGGTAGCAGTGCTACTGATCGAGCTGGTCGGGTCCTAAAGGAAATAGCTGCTAGACTGGGTCTGCGGCAGGTGGTGAGGGAATCAACAGGAGGGAAAAACATACCTGACCTCATCCTTACCAATCTACGGCTGCAGGTGCATCTGTCCATGACAGTATCGGTAAGAGTGACCATCGCACAGCCCTTGTGGAGACAAAGTCCCACCTTCACATTGAGAACAACCTCCATCGTGTTGTGTAGCACTATCACTGTGCTAAATGGGACAGACTTTGCACAGATCTAGCAACTCAAGACTGGGCATCCATGAGGCCCTGTGGGCCATCAACAGCAGAATTATACTCCAGCACAATCTGTAACCTCATGGCCCGGCCTATCCCCCACTCAACCATTACCATCAAGCCAGGGGATCAACCCTGGTTCAATGGAGAGTGCAGGAGGACATGCCAGGAGCAGCACCAGGAATACCTGAAGGTGAGGTATCAACCTGGTGAAGCCACCAAACAGGACTACTTCAACACCAAACAGCGAAAGCAGCAAGTGATAGACAGAGCTAAGCGATCCCACAACCAACGGATCAGATCTAAGCTCTGCAGTCCTGCCACATCCAGTTGTGAATGGTGGTGGGCAATTAAACAACTCACTGGAGGAGGAGGCTCCACAAATATCCCCATCCTCAATGATGGAAGGGCCCAGCACATCAGTGCAAAAGATAAGGCTGAAGCATCCACAGCAATCTTCAGCCAGAAGTGCCAAATGGATGATCCATCTCAGCCTCCTCCAGTGGTCCCCAGCATCACAGATACCAGTCTTCAGCAAATTCGATTCACTCCACGTGATATCAAGAAACGGGTGGAGACACTGGATACTGCAAAGGCTATGGGTCCTGATAGCGTTCGGCAATAGTACTGAAGACTTGTGCTCCAGAACTTGTTTGTGATATACATAAATGATCTGGAGGAAGGTATAGATGGTCTGATTAGCAAGTTTGCAGATGACAATAAGATTGGTGGAGTAGCAGATAGTGAAGGGAACTGTCGGAGAATGCAGCAGAATATAGATAGATTGGAGAGTTGGGCAGAGAAATGGCAGATGGAGTTCAATCCAGGCAAATGCGAGGTGATGCATTTTGGAAGATCCAATTGAAGAGCAAACTATACGGTAAATGGAAAAGCCCTGGGCAAAATTGATGCACAGAGAGATCTGGGTGTTCAGGTCCATTGTACCCTGAAGGTGGCAACGCAGGTCGATAGAGTGGTCAAGAAGGCATACGGCATGCTTTCATTCATCGGACGGGGTATTGAGTACAAGAGTTGGCAGGTCATGTTACAGTTGTAAAGGACTTTGGTTCGACCACATTTGGAATACTGTGTACAGTTCTGGTCACCACATTACCAAAAGGATGTGGATGCTTTGGAGAGGGTGCAGAGGAGGTTCACCAGGATGTTGCCTGGTATGGAGGGTGCTAGCTATGAAGAGATGTTGAGTAGATTAGGATTATTTACATTAGAAAGACGGAGGTTGAGGGGGGACCTGATTGAGGTCTACAAAATCATGAGAAGTATAGACAGGGTGGATAGCAAGAAGCTTTTTCCCCAGAGTGGGGGACTCAATTACTAGGGGTCATGATTTCAAGGTGAGAGGGGAAAAGTTTAAGGGAGATATGTGTGGAAAGTTCTTTGCACAGAAGGTGGTGGGTGACTGGAACACATTGCCAGCAGAGGTGGTAGAGGCGGGCACGATAGTGTCATTTAAGATGTATCTAGACAGATAAATGAATGGGCAGGGAGCAGAGGGATACAGATCCTTGGAAAATAGGCGACAGGTTTAGATAGAGGATCTGGATCGGCGCAGGCTTGGAGGGCCAAAGGGCCTGTTCCTGTGCTGTAATTTTCTTTGTTCTTTTGTTGTCGCTCCCCTAGCCAAGCTGTTCCTGTACAGTTACAACACTGGTATCTACCCGATAATGTGGAAAATTGCCCAGGTATGTCCTGTACACAAAAAGCAGGACAAATCCAACCCGACCAATTACCGCCCCATCAGTCTCCTCTCGATCATCAGTAAAGTGTGATGAACCACATATATACAGACACAGAGGGCAACTAACTACATACAGAGATATGTGTCCATACAAACATCAACCCCATATACAAAAAAATGTGGACTCTTAAATACCCTGTAGGCATCTCAGGATGTACAGTAAATCCTGGCATAACCAGCGACACCCACATTCTGTGAGCAAATCAAAAAGAACATGACGGCCAAATGGCCTCTTTCTCTGCCAGCAATCTGCTACGTTCCATCTTCCTATGTGTCAGGTGTGACTCCAACCACCAGAGAGTTTGCCCCCCAATACCCATTGATTCCAGTTTTTCCAGGGCTCCTTGATGCCACACTCGGTCAAATGCAGCCTTGATGTCAAGGGCTGTCACTCTCACCTCACCTCTGGAATTCAGTTCTTTTGTCCATGTTTGAACCAAGGCTGGAATGAGGTCAGGAGCTGAGTGGCCCTGGCGGAACCCAAACTGGGCATCACTGAGCAGATTATTGCTGAGCAGGTTCTGCTTGATAGCTCTGTTACTGACACCTTCCATCACTTTACTGATGATCGAGAGGAGACTGATGGGGCGGTAATTGGTCGGGTTGGATTTGTCACCGTTTTACAAAAATGGGATAAAATGTAAAGAATGCAGCAACTGTGACAAAAATGAAATAAGTTGATTAATTAAATTGTGTTAACGCAGCTCCATACTCAGTAATATCTTCACGACCCATGAGGGGCTGATTCCCAAACACTCTCCAGTCTGACACCCTGATAATCTGCCTCTCTCTCTGAGATAACAAGGTGTAGAGCTGGAGGAACACAGC